CCTACAGAAACAGCATCTCTCCATTGATACTTTACAGCAAGGAGCTGACCAGCTCACCATAAAGGTCACCCAAAATCTGCATGTGGACAGTTCAAAAGCACGTAGTTTGCACATCTTTCTAACATAGAAAGCTGGAAAAGGATTTAAGAACAGTTACAATAATCCATGGCACCATTACTTCAGATTCCAAATCTCCTCAAAATTAGAGAGGAAAAATAACATGTGACTGTAAAAATCCACGTATTATAGTAGCCTATTCCACTATAGTTTACAGATTTAATCAAAGTAGCAAACACAAAATAACACAAATAACAAATGAAAATAAATTACCTTTCAAAAAAAGACTTCGCTTCACTTTCGTGTTGATTGTAAACCAATTCCAAGTACATGTGCACAAAGAGAGGATAAAACAGCTGAGACAATTCTGCTCGATGACAGTCCAGGGAACACTCAATGAAGTGTTTTAATCCACTGTAGTATTCCTCGTACAGCGTCGGGTCGCCCTGCTGGTTGTAGGCAGACAATACTGCACTCACATCTGGCTGATCTTCCACGACAACACCTCCTCCAACTGCAAAAACATTAGCATATAACAAAAGCTTGTAAGACAGCCTGAAAGAGCTAGCAAATATACGGTGGCTAATAACTCCACTGGTAAGGTGGAGTGCTCTGAGCAAAACATGACATCAAGTCCTGTGCTCGCTCAGCACTAAGTTTAAATGATACAAGTGAGAGGACAGTAGCACATTGTAGTGCAGTAGCCAATTCTCCTACCAACTTAAGCCATTTTTTGTGCTTTCCCTGCCAACAGCTGCCTATAAGCTGCCTATAATGCCTAATTCAGCAAGGATTATAAGCATAAAGGAAGAAGCCACTAACATCAGCAAAAGAAGTTATCTTTACTGCTAAGGCGAGAAACTGTCAAAAGAGGAGTGGAATCTTTCTAAGTCTGTAAGATATGCACACTACAATTATTTTGCTTCCAGTAAACAAGCAAATTAAGCTCATCAAGTGAACAATTCACCAAGACCGCTACACAACCATTACAGGGCAGTGACTTTTTGTCACTTGCTAACACTCCAAGAGCTCTGTTCTCCATAGCAGTCATTGAGCATTTTCATTGTTTTGTCTTCCATGTAAAAACACTTGTATCAGGTGATACCAGGAACAAGGTGACTTTATACTATACTCTTACTGGGACTCAGACATATCAGTTCCTGAAATTTCATTACACTATTCTGTAAAGCTGCCCCACAGAACACCTTAATAAAAAATACTTAAACTCCAATTATTCAAAGGACATCTGAAGTACCCAGCAACTTGATCTAGAAATGTATAAAGTCTCCTCTCTATAAGCATTCTACAGCTTTTTCTTCAAGACACAGTCTGTACATCAGGCCCCTGTTCTCATCCCCGCGGTCACATCTTGGACCACCACCTCTAACTATGAAGGAAACCTTCAGCCTCCTGTTGCACCCTTAGCCAAGATGGGATACAAAGACAAGGGGAAGTACCTCTCACTTTGACAGTGCTCCCTGCAAATACAACAGATAGCCTGTCCTTGGTCCCTTGCTCCATGGGGCCACCCTCAGGTGATCCCAATGTCTTCCAAAGTTGTATGGGGGAATGACACGCCCGTGGGTCCCCCCCTAATGCTACGATACACCCTCGTCTCCCACCTCATGGAAGACCATCCCAAGGGAAGCACGATCTGACACCGACCCTTGTGCCCCAGCATCACGCAAAGCCCCCGAGGCTGTGAGAGGCACAAGCCCCCCC